TGGTGCATCCAACTCAGTCGCCCTGACAACATCACCAGGTCAGACCAATTCTAAACTTACAGTTTTCCTCCATGAAGATGTGAATTGAAATAGGCTTGTCTTTACCCTGAAAATCGTGAGTGCCCTGTATCTCACCGGGTCTAGTCCAATGGGGCCATATAAGCACCCCTTCCTTGTACACTCACAGTAAACCATTTTCTGATATAACTCCTTCCTTCCATGATAAGTCATGTACCTAAGCGTTCAAAGATACAAAGGAAGCCTCTCTGCCGGTCCCAGTACGACGGATAGAAGGTGGAGAGAAATAACTCTTTTATTTAAGACAAGAATTTACTGCATTAGTCGGCGAAAGTAAAACGTAATAACCCTTTTGCGTTTGCTTTCGCGAGTTGATGAACTTATAAAACATTCACATATGCACACTTAGGTCAATGCAGACCAAATAGTATAAGGTAGAGAAAATAGCATTGTCGAATGCTAATTAAAGAGCATGTGCTTTTAGGAACATGTTCTCGAACTGAGGTTAGTTTAATTTAGAAATTACTATAATTTCATTAAGAAATAGAGTTTTCTCAAACGCTACTCCTTCTGACAGGTTTCTACATTTTTCTCATCAGGCTCTAACACCAACTAGCACTAGCAGCCGTTTGTTTCTTTATGACCAATATTCATGTTGTTTACATGCGAAGAAGTAATTCTACACTGTCACCTTTGGTCAGAGGAGGCATGGCTACTTTTTAATTTTAAAGTTATAATCGTATTCTGTATATATGCCAAATTCTGATACCAAAGCTAGAATTGACAGTCTATTCTATTTCATGTTTACCCTCTTATTTCAGTTAGCAGTAATCCTCTGAGCGGTGAAAACTTACAAACCTACACCTATCGCGTTGGAGAAAAAAAAAATTTGGTTAAGCAAAGGGGTAAGTCCTTTTTGAATGATTTTTAAAGTGAAGTGATTGCTTATTTGTTCTACAGCCGTCAACAATTAGACCGAGAAACTGGTTATAATGCATGCTCATAAAACTTCCAAACACTGGGTCAAACCAAAACATCCCTGAAATCTCTTAATAAAATACCGGATTCCATTTCCTTTCATTAGTATTGGCGAATGAACCTTTTAGTGAAACCAGTATGAATGGTAAAATACTAAGCCAGCTGAAGAAGTTTACTCTTATAGACTCAATTGTCTCGATATGACAGAATTTCATGTAGGAACCTGTTGACCGACCGTGAAATCTTCACGCATGATGCGCATTCAAATACGCCGAATAAATTAGGCAATCCGACTACATTCATCTACCACTTGTCCTTTCCCTAGCTTGGTAGTTGTAGCTTCACAAATGCCCTCGATAGTCTCGTATGAAAACATGAACGCTTTGCAGGATATCACATGAACAAAGCATTTCTTTCTATTGAGTGGTTACTGGACGACTTGCATCGTCTTGCATGTAAATAAAGTCACTTTTTGCCCTTCTGTGACTGAACAGAAGGCAAAAAGATTCCCCTATTAGCTACTTACCAAAATATGTTATATTTTAATAGTGCATATATGGAGCGAAATGGTGTATCAGATAATCGTTTGATGAACCCAGCTTCTCTTCATGTATCAGATAATTTCCTTATATTGCATTGTTTGTCTGAACATCCAAAGAAATGAGTCGTAAAAATGCTACTACTTATTATTAGTAGTAGTATATTAATGGATATTATATTGATAATAAAAATAGCATTTTTATGATAGAAATATCACTCTTCTATATCCAATGCTTGATGCAAGGCATATTTGATCTACAAAGCTCATTCCATATCCCCTCCATTGTGGACAAGCTGAACATGAGCACTGTTGACTCCTGTAGGACATGATCTTGAATGTAGTCTTCACTAAATTAAAATGTCTTGTGGAACTCAAGGATAAGATAATTTCATTGGCATGATGATTTAGCCCAGCCATTCATCAGACCATTCATCATAAAAACGGTCTACCGTAATCATGGTTTCTAGGTAAATTTACCTTTAAATATTAACCCGTATCATTGGTTCTACAAGAAGAGTTCATATGAGCATTTTGCAACTAAGTTCTTCTTGATTTATTTATTATCATCATTTACTATTATCATCATCATCATCATTTTTGTTATTGTTTTTTGCTCTAATTCAAAGTTTCCTCTGAATATCTGCTCTACTTCAATTTGATAGATATCAGTTCTCCCATCACCGGTTCAGGCTCCAGGGGTAGTTCGTACACCGTCTCGGTCGAGGAACGTCGTAATCCGCAGAAGACGAGCTTAGGACTGCTGGCCAACGGTAACACGCCATATGGGTGTGTCGGTCGACCGGGACAAAGGAACATCTTGACTGGCGAAAACTGCGAGATCTATCTGGTCTGCCAGGAGATGCGCAGCGAAAGGCGCCCATTGACGGCTTCAGGAGTGGTCAATGGGACAGTCTCCGCCACAACGAATGGGGTCATGTCAACCAAGGACAAAGTACGATTGTTTACTAACACCTGGTGGGAGTAGGTGTACCTAAGATGGCTTTATGAATAGTTTGAATTAGGATATACATTAAAATGAAGAAAAAACCTCTTTTAGTGTTTCATGTAGAAGGTACTGGACGCCAAGCGATGATCCGTGCTTCGTGCGGTTTTGCTTATCTTGCTTACCCACTGCTCCCACAAACGTGTGCTGAAATTTCCTCCTATGTCCGACATGCTATGCTCCAAAGGGCATTTGTATTGCATTGACACTGGCATACATTTCATTTCGTCTGATAGGGCCTGTGGAAGGGATTCATAAATTGGCCTTACCAGCTACCGAAGAAGGATTGACATGACCATGCGACTCTTGGGTTGT